GGGGGGGGGAGGAAGGGCGGAAGGAGGGAGAGTTAACACCAATTAATTTTTTAATAACTCACCCTGCATAAATCTTCATGCAAGGTAGAGAAGGGTGGATGAAAGGACAGCCTGTGACCGGCCTCGCGCCAGGCTAAATTTCCTTGCCGGTTTGGGGAGACGCTACAGGGCCCGGCAGAGTGACCAGGTGGGCAGCTGTGGCTGTGACAGTTGCCTGCTCGCTGCCGGCCCTCAGCCTGAAGGAGACTTAGGATCAGGCCGCGACATGATCTGGGGGACAAGTGAGAGGCAGGAACAAAGTGGAGGTTTCAGAGTTGCCTGGTGGCCCCCGAAGACTTTGCCCAAGCCCCTGCCACGCCGTGGAGGAGCCAGTCTGTGAGCACCAGGGCACAGGTGTCTTGGCCTAAACACATTTTGTTTCCTGGACGGCAACCTGCTGATTTTTACATTTGTAATCTCTCCTATCTGCTGCCAAGGCCCCCGAGGTATCTTAGGTAATTCATATACTATGCTTTAAGTAGGACATAAAGCAGGCACACCGAAGGGGAGCAAGGAAGAGGGGTTCCTGCCACTTGGGATGAGCTGATTTTTGAGGCTGGGCCCAGGTTGGCTGTGAGTTTCCTGACAGCTAAGGCAAAAGGGGAAGCCCTGAGGCGTTCGGTTTGTATTGTCTGACAACCAGAGACAACACATTAGCCTATGGAGACAAGCTCTTGGTTGGCATTAACCATGAAGGGAAATTTACGTGCAGGGAGTGTCTCCCATCCTTCCTGTGCTGGTGGGATCCTCCAAGAAAGAGACACCAAGACAGGATTACATACGCAAGGATTTCTGTGGGGACACACCAGTGGGACGGAAAACAGAGGGAGCTGGTGAAGGCTGGGGGAGCAGACTGCCCTGAAGGCAGGGAATGGAGAAAGGCTCAGCAGGCGGCTGGGGAACCCAGCCATCAGTGGAGGCTCGCATCTCCCAGGACCAGCCGCTTTAGAGTCCCTGCTGCTCTCAGCGTGGGCTGGGGACACGGCCTTGGCACAAGACAGTGGATTTCCCAGCAGAGCAGCACAGAGCTCTCCCGCCCTAGTCAGTCAAGCTTCTCGAAGTGGGAGACCAGCAAAGTACACTCTCGTGGCTACTGCACCTCCCAAACGTCAGTTATTTATTCTCCTGCCACCTCCACAGCTTGGCCATGTCAGCAGCGTAGGACTGTTAGAAAACACTATTCTGACACTTGGTAAAACACTAAGGAAGACTTTATTCTAGACTATTGCAATAGGGGAGAGACATCGGCTCAACCCTGAATGAGGTAAAGATAGCTGGGGATGGACAGCCAGCAAACAGAGCGGGGGCCAGTGGCTGGAGCATTACTAAGGAGAGGTGTCAAGGCTGGCGGATTCTTATTAACTGACCTCACAGGATTCGTGCTAGAGGTAGGTATATGTCAAAAGTGGGGGTGTAAAGAAGCTTGGTCAGATATCAAGTGGGGGATTCTCTATAAACCGACAGCAGGATTCTTACTAAAACAGTGCTAGGCAGGCCACAGACAGGACAGGGCCCAAGGTCAGGGCCTAGTGGAGAAAGGGCTCCGAGGAGCCTGAGTAAAGTTTGGTCAGGGAGGGAGTCTTGGTCACTTCCTAGTATTATCTGGTATGTTTTCTTTAAATTGACTTTAATTTTGGTTTCATGCATTTGTTGAGGAACTAGTTATATCTATTTTTCTAACATAGATTAAATAGAGTACATCATTATTCAAATATTAGCATCACTTGTGTACCATCTTAAATGTCTTGTGTACCACCAGTGGTACACACACCACACTTTGGGAAATGTTGGTCTTACAAAAACACAGAAACTCTATTGGAAAGTCTGTATCACAGCCCCGGCCTGGATGCTGGCCACCCGCTCTAGCTGATTGCTTTGCACACCTCTTGAGGTTCACAGAAGGGGCTAAAGTCATTTTCAGGGAGAGTGGAGGTGGGGCAAGGGTAAGACCAGGGAGGCTGAGCTGCAAAGCTCCTGACCTCAAAGCTTCCCCACCCTGTTGCCCAGATGTGGAGCTGGACCTCCAGCGGAGCGTGCAGGCTGTGCTCCGGGAGCTCAGTGCCCAGGCCCCGGCCCTGCGGAGCAACCGAGGTAAGAGCCAGCAGGCATTGCCCCTCTGCTCTCCCCCACCCCCACCCCAGCCTGCTCTCCACACATTCTCAACAAACTCTCTCGGGGCCTGGAGCTCTCAGTGCAAGGGGTTTCCCGCAGACCCCTCATCCTGCTGGAAATCCCTGGAGCAAGAGCCCAGAGACTTTTCTGCTTTCTGCTCACCCTGCCAGCGACTGTGGCAGCTCACCTTGAGGATCTGCAGCCTTCTTTCCTAACCACCTGCCCCAACTCCCCTGGCAAATAAAATCCCCAGGCCCTCCACGCCCACATGACTCCCAGGAACATAGCTGGAGGCGAAGATCTGTAATCCTTGCTACCCCATAAGTCACACACACACACCCTCCCCACTAGTGTCCCACCTCCCCCTTCCTGCCCTGGGAGTTCACTGTCCACCAAGGGCAGCAGATCAGAACTCCCCCACATGTGAGAAGCCCACACATGTGCACCTGGAGTCAAGTGCACGGAGTCAGCTCTGTGGCTGGTCAAAGTCATGGCCCTGGGCTCTGGGACTCTGGGTCCTGCTCAGAGGGGTCTCCTCTGAGAGCTGCCGGCCCGCCTGACTGGGCGGGACTCCCCTTTTTCCTGGCCTAGGCATGTGGAGATGGTCCCTGCACAAGAAGATAGACCGAGATCCTGGTAAGAGTCCGGTGCTGGTCCGCATTCTGCTCAGAGAACTGGAAAAGGTGGGTTCCCGAGCTCCAGGGAGGCCAGTAGCTAGGGACTCAGTGCCATCAGCGCTGCGTCCCCCAAACGGTGGTCATTTGTGAACCGGCTACATTTTTGCCACACGTCTCCCTCCTGTACCTTCCTATAAGCAATATTTTCTTTACATTGACTCCCACTGGTTAACATGACTTAACATATTTCAAAAAGAAGCCATAACACGAGCATCAGTGGGAAACCATATTGCTCGGCAGCAGAAAGCACCTGTAGACATAAATGCCTAACTATTTACGTGTTCAAAAATTATCCGTGTCCCACTTACCGTTTTCCCGCACACCACCCAGTGCTCTGGGTGCGACTGCTTGGGAAGTGCTGCACGCGAGGGAGCCTCCAAGTGGGGGACCTTGTTGCCGCTTTGCTGCCAGCTCCTACGCTGAGTCAGTGTGGCCCCTCTCCCACGGAGTTCCCCGCTCGCTTCCCCCAACACCCTCCCGCGTGGACTGCCACACCTGTGGGCTCCCCACCCGCTCCTCCACCAGGGCACACTGTGGCCCCTTTTTCACTGCATCTCCTGCCCAGCCCCCTTCCCCCCAAGCTGCCTCCTGCTAGGATGTAGGGAGCCCCCCTTCAGCGCCAGCCCAATAAATGTTTTCCAGGCAGAGCACGAGGACGGCCGGCGGGTCATCATTCCCCTGCTGCACACGCTAATGTACGTGCTCACCAAGGTGAGCCGGGGCTGAGGGCCGGGGGCTGTGGTCACCCACTTCGACTGGGCACGAGCCTAGAACTCTTGGATTGCCAGCCCCAAACCGGCTTCTTCTCACAGTCTGTGCCCTTTCCCTAGCAGATAAGAGAGGAAACTGGGGAGGCTGGGGGGGAGCGGTGGCCCCACAGGGCACAGGGGTTGGGAGGGGAGATGACTTACTGGGGGAACAGGGTGGGATGAATTTCCCTGTGGGGACATTTGAGTGGAGTGTCACAGCGGCGATGTCCACAGACGCTGGGAGGAGAGGCTGAAGGTGTGAGCCCAGGTCCTGCTTTCAGGCCCCGCTGTCCTCCCCCACCCCACCCAGGACCCTCCGTGACCTCGGGTTCCAGGCACCCCAACCCCTCCCTCTGTCCCAGGCCACAGGCATCTCCGAGGAGCTCTACCAGAGGACCTACGCCTTCTGCATGCGGCTGCTGACCCTGCCCGCCCCCTACTGCACGGTCGCCCTGGACTGCGCCATAAAGCTGAAAACGGAGACGGCTGCCCCAGGTAGGAGCTGCAGGCTCTGTCTCCCACGCTGCGACTCCGGCTCCACCCAAGGTCTTGCCCTTGTCTCCAGGGCTCTGGGGAGCTCAAAAATCCCAGCACCTTCCATGGGAAGGCGGGCATGGGGTCAGGGACTCGCAGGCTTGCTGAAGTGCCTGCCTTGCAGGGACGCTGTACCAGAGGCTGGTCATTGCCGAGCAGAACTTGAGGAGTGAACTGTATCCCTACCAGGAGAGGTGAGTGGCTCGCACAGGGCGCTGCATTCCACCCCTCCAGATCTTGGGCCCGTGTGACTGTCGCTGACAGAAGGACAAAGGAGGAGGCTGGATTGAGAGGAGCCCCAGCAGGGCTCCCATCCATGACATTTGTCCAGCAGTGGGTGCGTTGTCAAGGCGTATGTCCCTCTCTGGAGACCACTATAGGCAGGATAGGTCTTCCTTCTTGGGCCTGAATCAGAGGATCCTGCTCACATGCGAGGGCTGACAAGACCACCGGCTACCCTGGAGTCCTGTGGTTTCACCTCCACCCTGCCCTTGGCCGTAATGCAGCATCAACTCCAGCCCGAGGCAGCTCCAGAACGTCCATGGTGGAGGGGTTCGGGCCACAGTCACACCACGGATCTGCGGGCTTTCATATGTGTGTGCCTAGCCCTTTAGATAAAGTTGAGGAAATGTCCACTGTTATTGCTGGGGGGAGGAACGGATGGCGTTGGGGGTATGTCGCTTCCTCCCCTGCAGGTACCTCTGCTGAAAGGCGTAGCTTGAGGCTCTGTGATCTTGGAGGGTACAGGAAGGTGAAGGGCTCCAGAGGGATAAGCACTGGGCAGGCTGGGAGGACATGGCTGGGTGAGGTTGTTTCCTGGTGCAATAGGAATGGTAAGAGAAGGTGGTTCAGAGCCCCAGTTTCAGCAGCAAGGGTTTAGTATCCCTCCTAGAGGGCACGGTGGACACTGGGCCATGATGCTGAAAGAGGAAGCAGGATTTAGGTTAGAACTTATCTAGATATGAGAAACTAGAGAGACCAGCTGCCTCTCTGAAGGGCTGTGCATGTTCCTGCCACAATACCCACCACTCCTTATTGTCGCCCCCGTAGACTTGAATTTAAGGCTCCTGTTTTTGAAAGAGCTAAATAACTTGGGGGGGGGGGCTGCAAGATTCTGAGGGCACCCCTCCAGTGGCTCTTCCTCCAGTAGCCATTCTCATCAGCACCACGCCTTCCACCTCTGCCCTTAGAGTGTTCCTCTTCGTGGATCCTGAGCTGGTGTCTCCCTCCGTGTGCAGTGCCCTGCTGCTGGAGATCCAGGCAGCCCAGACACAGCAGACGCCCGAGGCCTGCATGCGCCACGTGGTCGCCCACACCCTGCAGGCAGCTCTGGGTGGGGCCTGCCGAGCCGACACCCTGCAGAGGAAGCTGCAGGTAATCGCCCTGCCCCAGCCCTTGTGGGTTCCAGTCCAGGGCCCACACCAGTTGCTTACTGTGCTCATCTTCCCCCATCCTGTTGCCATATTATCTTTTTTCATGAATCAAAAATTAATACACAGGACATATTGGCAATTAACATTCTGGTATGTTTCCTTAATGATAATGACCATGATCGTCCTAACAGCTACTGTTTATTGGATGTTCATGGTGCTCCAGGCACTGTGTTAAGCACTTCATATGTATCACATTCTAAAACTCTCACCACAACACTGTGAAATGGATATAATTTTCAAAACTAAGGGACAGAAAAGATGATAACCTACTCTTGGTCACACACGCAAAGTGACTGAGTCTGAATTTGAACCCAGATCTGTCTTCAAGCCTGTGTTCAGTCATCTCCAGCCACACGCCCCCACCGCTCCCTTTTACAAACCGAGATATCAAACTCTGTATACTGCCAGAGACTCCATGTATATGTGCTCATATGTAACCTTTATTTTCCCATCCCATTGGGAATATGCCATATGAAAATATTTTCCTTGGGAAATATGTACTTCTAACGGTTGCACAATATTCTCTCTGGTGAATGTGTTGTTATTCTTGTAACTAGTTGCCTGCTGCTGTTGTGAGTATTTAGTTTGTTTCCAACACTTACCCACTCATTTACTGGTTTCTCTCTGACTCAGTCTGGACCCCCCTCCACAGCCGGACTCCAGTAGGTTGGAGATCGTCTGGCCAAAGGCTGCATGAGGGGCCGGATTTCTTGGGTGGGAGAGGATGCTGCCTGGGGCAGTGAGTCCAGCACTGTGGGGACGATCTCTTTTTGGGGAAGGGTTTCGGCCCTCCCGGAAGGCTGGATTGGTTAATGGCAAAGGTTCCCAACTGCCTTCACTCAGGGTTGCGGTGCTGCTGCTGCAAAAGGGGGCAGGTGGAGGGTGCCTGCGAGGGCTCAGCTATCTCCTGCTTTCCCGCCCCAGGAAGTGGGTATCAGTCCTCTTGCCAGGCCATGTCTCAGACCCTGCTTTGCCCATAAATGCATTGGGTGTGTTGCTCTCCCCTCTCCTGTTCTCCACTTGGAGTCCTCCACATTCTGAGCCCCACATCTTGGATTCATCCCTTGATTCTTTTATGCATGCCTGGGTCTCTCCCTAAACCATGTTGATTTCATGAATATCACTCCTTTTCCCTGAAAGTACCATGCACACCTTGAGAACACCATTCCTTTGTGCTTGCCTACCTGCTTGGACCTATCCAGGGCTCTTGACTCTCTCTCCCCAACCCACCACCCTTGATGTCCCTNAAAGATGATAACCTACTCTTGGTCACACACGCAAAGTGACTGAGTCTGAATTTGAACCCAGATCTGTCTTCAAGCCTGTGTTCAGTCATCTCCAGCCACACGCCCCCACCGCTCCCTTTTACAAACCGAGATATCAAACTCTGTATACTGCCAGAGACTCCATGTATATGTGCTCATATGTAACCTTTATTTTCCCATCCCATTGGGAATATGCCATATGAAAATATTTTCCTTGGGAAATATGTACTTCTAACGGTTGCACAATATTCTCTCTGGTGAATGTGTTGTTATTCTTGTAACTAGTTGCCTGCTGCTGTTGTGAGTATTTAGTTTGTTTCCAACACTTACCCACTCATTTACTGGTTTCTCTCTGACTCAGTCTGGACCCCCCTCCACAGCCGGACTCCAGTAGGTTGGAGATCGTCTGGCCAAAGGCTGCATGAGGGGCCGGATTTCTTGGGTGGGAGAGGATGCTGCCTGGGGCAGTGAGTCCAGCACTGTGGGGACGATCTCTTTTTGGGGAAGGGTTTCGGCCCTCCCGGAAGGCTGGATTGGTTAATGGCAAAGGTTCCCAACTGCCTTCACTCAGGGTTGCGGTGCTGCTGCTGCAAAAGGGGGCAGGTGGAGGGTGCCTGCGAGGGCTCAGCTATCTCCTGCTTTCCCGCCCCAGGAAGTGGGTATCAGTCCTCTTGCCAGGCCATGTCTCAGACCCTGCTTTGCCCATAAATGCATTGGGTGTGTTGCTCTCCCCTCTCCTGTTCTCCACTTGGAGTCCTCCACATTCTGAGCCCCACATCTTGGATTCATCCCTTGATTCTTTTATGCATGCCTGGGTCTCTCCCTAAACCATGTTGATTTCATGAATATCACTCCTTTTCCCTGAAAGTACCATGCACACCTTGAGAACACCATTCCTTTGTGCTTGCCTACCTGCTTGGACCTATCCAGGGCTCTTGACTCTCTCTCCCCAACCCACCACCCTTGATGTCCCTCCTTCTATAACACCTCTTTGGGGAGTTCACAGCACACACACACACACACACCCCTCATACCTAAGCCCCATCTTGGTTCTAGAACAGAGACCTAGGGCCCCTGTATGGGTTACTGTCCCCTCTCCCTGCAGTTGGCCATGGCTCTCAGGATGGCGGGGAGGGGAGGAGCTGTTCTGACCAGAGTTTGTCTGCTGACCCAGCAGCCCTTCACCCCACCCCTCCAGTGGCTCTGGCGACTGTTTCTGACTCACTAAACAGGCCATGGTGAAGGCATCATATTGTCATAACCAAGTCAAACATGCAAGGACATTCAGTTTTCCTCCTCAGTGATGTGGGGGAAAGGCGACCCCAAGTCTAACTCTGTCTCTGAGTTGGCTGCAGCTGGGGTTCAGGGGGAGGCTTAGGGATGAGGCTAGGCTGGGTTTGAGGGTGTCAGGAGTGAAGTGAGGCCCAGGGCTGGAATTAGCAGGCTTGTTGTATACACTATTGCAATAGAAAGAAAGAAATGCTGAAAGTAAAAGTTGTAATTTTTTTAGGCATAGTCAAAATGCTAGGCATTTTATCTAGAGTTCGGGGCTCTGGGTCTCCACTTCTGTATGTGGAAAATTGGGGGGAGAGGTGGAAGAAGAGCAGGGAGAGGCTTGGGGAATGCATCACTGATCTCAACTTAGAGACCCCCAGAAGCTTAGAGTTCAGGGGTCCTTAACGGTCCCCTGGCAGTTGTCCTCCCCTGTTGGGTGCTGGGGCATCAGCCTGGCCTGGGGCTCTCCAGCACAAGTTGACCACCGCTCCCCACCCGTGAGACCTCCGCCCCCTTAGCTGGAATTCTGTCTCGTAAGGGGTGCCATTCCCAGTCATACCTGCTGGCAAGAGGACAGTGGGACCTGGGGGAGGTGGCTCGGGAGGCGTATCTAACCTCCAGCCCACATCCTGTCTGCTGAGGACCTGCTCTGCGGCCTCAGCGTGGGGTAGGTTTGTCTCCCAGTGTGTCCAGGGGGTCAGCTGACAAGGTACTGAGACTGGGAGGTCAGCGTGGGGCAGACAACCGTCTCTCTGGCCCTCTGCACTACGTCTGAGAGCTAGAGACGGGTAGCTAGGGCTGCCCCGGGCTGCACCAGGGAACAAGCACTGAGGGGGGCTTCTTTGCAAAGCCTTGAAAACAGGGATTTCTGGAGGGACTTGGGAGCGAGGCCAAGGAGGGAGTCTAAAGACACAGCCTCGAGAGTCAGCTCTCGGTGGTCTGGCTGCAGAACTGCAGACGAGCCACACCTTCCCAAGGTCTAATTTCCCTCTTTTCATTGTTTCTTCCTTCTTCTGAGCTCCCTAAAGACTCCCCCACGACTAATTCTATGGGAAGCCCTGGAGCTGAGCTGGCCTTCCAGCATTGTCCCGAAATAGGGCAAGTGGGCCAGGCCTTTGTACGGCCACAGCTACTAGTTATCAGATGTGGACTGTCCTCAGGAAGGGGCGTGACCTTGGAGGTGGCTTTCTTCAGCTGAGGGAAATTTCGGAGGGAGATGCAGCTGAGAGCTGCCAGCTGCCAGCATTCCCAGCAGCCAGGTTAATGAGAGCCTTGGTCCTGCAAGTGGGAACCTGGGTGTCCACCAAGCATTCATCACAGTGTCCCACTCAGAATCAAAGCCAAAGTCATCAAAATGGCCTACAAGCCCCTCGTGATCTGCCCCACCCCCTCCTTTCCATCGCCTGTCCATCTCCACACTCTCCCTCTCTGTGTCAGCACAGACCTTCTTATCGTTCCTCAAACATGCCAGGCACATTTACACCCCAAGGCCCTTGCGCTTACTGTTCCCGACGCCTGGAATGTTCTCAGGTATCCACGTGGCTCACTCCCTCACTTCCTTTCACTTTCACTCATAAGTCACCTTTCAGTGGGGCTTCCCTGATCACACTATCTAAAATTTCAGCCCCTCCCCAAACTTCACATTCTCCTTTCCTGCTTTATCTTCTCTTTGTCATTTATTGTTATTCACCGTACTGTTTATTTTACTTCTCCTCCCCTCGGCCCCTGACACACTATAGTATAAGCTCCACATGGACAGGGTTTTTTGTCTGTATTGTTCACTGCTGCACCCTACCATCTAGAACAGCACCTGGCACATAGTGGGTGCTCGAGAGATAAACATTTAATTCATTTATTTAGAATTAATTTATAAAATGAAGCAACAGGATGCGATGGTCCCCATGGCTCCTTCCCACTCTGACTCCATATCCCTCTAGCGGCCCTGTTCATTCAGGTGATCTTTCAAATATTTATTAGAGCCCTAACTGGTCAGAGTGGCCTGCTCTGCCACAGCCCAGGAAGTTGAGACCTGCATCAGCAGGCCCCTAGCGCAGACGAGAGATGAGAACCAGCCCTGTTGTGCCTGCCCACGTCATTTGTCAGGACCCTGCAACTTCCTTGATGAGAGGATTAATGGGTGGTGGGTGGGGTGAGAGAAAACAGCCAGAGAACAGGATGGAGGGCAGTTCTCGGGTGTCAGAGCTGTACCACCACAGTCAGAAGGACACAGTCTGAAGAGCAAGGAATGGCACCATGAGAAACTCTCTCAAAACCTGTTTCCATTCCGAAGAAAGGCTCAGCTTGGTGCTTTACCTCAAACATCGTTATCGTTTGCCCATTTCCCTTTTTTAAAAGAGAAAGCAAGCTTCAAGCTCTAAAGCTTTGGCTGGCCATAGTACCTGGCTCAATTTAACAATAGTGCTTTGTGATCATTAGTCATTTTCTGTTTATGATAGGTGACGCTAACCCTTTTCTCTAGAGTAGCAATATAAAATTTCCTTTTGAAATTAAAAAAATGGGCTGATTTAAAGAAAAAATTATGAGTACATAATTGTGTAGGTGCTATGTCACAGCAGTATAAAAATGACAAGTTTAGGAAACATTCAGCAAAATATTTATTGAGCACCTACTATGTGCCAGGAGATAGTGTATTCTAGGTGCTGGGGATGCAGCTATAAACAAAACAGACAAAGCCACTGCCTGCCTGGAGTTTACATCCTGGTGGGGGCAGAACGTGGATCCAAGTGCTAGGTGGCGCTTCAAGGAGGCTGGGTGCCAGCAGCCATCCCTGCCCATCTGGGTTCCGAGGCTGCAGGGCACCAGCTGCCCCCCACACCAGGGTGCAGGGGCGGGGCGACCCGCAGTGGCAGGCAGCATCTGGGAACAGCTGTAGCAGGGCAGGAGCGGGGCCCTGGATGTGGGCGCAGACGCCTTGGCAGGGAAGCTCTGTCCGGCTCCCCTGGCATAAGGCTGCCCACGCACCTGCGGGCTTGGCATCGGAGCTGGGGTGGGTGGGTGTTGGGCTGAGATAAGGCTCTGACACCCCTCCCCG